AGGGAAAATCAAAACCACAGGGAGATCCACTTCTCTCCCACTAGGACGGCTCTTATCAGATTAATGGAAAAATAACAAGTGTTGGTTGTGAAAGGTTTGAATCCACCCAGAGGCACCTTGGAAGAAAGGCCTGGTGATCTACTTCCAAAAAATCAGCCACTGAAAACTCTAAGGAGCACAGTTCTACTCTGACCCACAAGGGGTCACCACGAGTCAGATCTATCCGATGGCAACTGTACAGGTAGACCCATCTTCACATCTGTCGCCCACTCACAGCCTGGGCTCAGGACGGGAGTACGGACAGCTGGTCTCCAGGCTCCCAGGAAGGTAGCTCTCCAGGGACCATCTCCCAGGACCCTCCGGACCACAGGACAGGAAGGCGGATGTGGGTGGGAGGAGAGGTCTCCTCCCCTCTGTTTTCTGCTCAGGACGCCCCCTCCCTGCCTGGACGCCCCATCCTTGTCCATGCTGCGCAGCTCTGAGGCCGCGGCCGGGAACCCTGCTAGCCCCAGCCGGCTTCATTTCAAGCACACACTGAGACAGGCCCCCCAAGGCAGGAACACGCACGCTTTGAGAAAACAGTAGAAAATTGCACTCTCTTTTATTTTAGCCTTTTAAAAAAGCCAGAACGGGAGACCCTGTTCACTTGAAGGGCTGAACAAGAACTGGCCACCTCGTTGCTCCAGCCGCAGGGGCGCATACTCCTGGCCAGCAGGGGTGCCGACGGGGCAGCCCCGGCCCTCCCAGGCAGGAACCGGCCTCAGTCCACGCCGTCCAGGTCCTGCTGCCCGCTCCCCTCGAGCCGTAGAACCTAGATGGGGGGCCATGTGGGGAGAAGTCTCGTGAGCACGCCAAGTCCATACACAGACTCCAACAAGCACGCTGCCGGAATGCACCCAGTCACGCCAAAAGGTGGCCACAGTCCCAGGATAAAGAAAGCAGGCTATCAAACAGTAATCTGGAGTCCCCAGGTGGTGCAAGCAGCAAGCACACTCAGCTGCTAACCAAAAGGTTGGAGGTTCAAGCCGAGCCATAGGCAACTCGGAAGAAAGGCCTCGTGATCTGCCTCCAAAAGGTCATAGCCTTGAAAATCCTGTGGAGCACAGCTTTGTCACCACGAGTTGGCACCAACCAGTAACTGGTTTGGTCTTTTGGTTTTGGTCCCTTTGCAGAAATAAGAACAGTTTAAGGATACCGTCGGGTATATAACAAAGGATTTCATTCTTCTTGGATCCACAATCAACACCGATGGAAGCAGCAGTCATTTGCATTCAGCAAATCTGCTGCAAAAGACCTCTTTAAAAAGTTAAAAAGCAAAGATGTCACTTTGAGGACTAAGGTGCGCCTGACTCAAGTCATGGTGTTTTCAATCGCCTCATACGCATGTGAAAGCTGGACGATGAATAAGGAAGACCAAAGAATTGACGTCTTTGAATTGTGGCAATGACGAAGAATACTGCATATACTATGGACTGCCAAAAGAACGAACAAATCTGTCCTGGAAGAAGTACAACCAGAATGCTCCTTAGAAGCAAGAATGGCGAGACTACATCTCATGTACTTTAGACATGTTATCAAAAGGGACCAGTCCCTGGAGAAGGACATCATGCTTGGTCAAGTAGAGGGTCAGCAAAAAAGAGGAAGACCCTCAACGAGACGGACTGACATAGTGGCCGCAACAATAAGCTCAAACACAGCAATGATTGTGAGGATGGCTCAGGACGGGGCAGCGTTCCGCTCTGTTGTACCCAGGGTCACTATGAGTCAGAACCGACTCGACGGCATCGAACCACAACAACGT